CCCTCGAAGATATCCCACCAGACCCGGTCGGTGACATGTTGATTGAAGCGATGGCCTTCCTTGCAGCCTGGATTCCAATTACAGCGAAGGTTGACATATCCATTCCGTTGGACAAAGTCCGTCTGCAGACTTCGCATCGCCAGGACATTATCGTGGAGGGGGGCGTCGACGTGCCATGCCATTAGGAATCCGGAGCGGTGGGCGTGGAGGAAGGCGATTGTGGAGGGAAGTGTGTCGTAGTGATCAATGACATAGGTCAGGTAGGCCATGGCCTCGTGGCCTTTATTGAAAGGGGTCGTAAGGATTTCGTTACTGGATCGCATGTCTTGGGTAGGGTTGACTATGTAAAGGGCCCGTTGCCAGCTATCGCAGAAGACACATTAGTATTGATGCGATTTGCGCGGAATATAGAGAAAGAGCGCGGTGGTACACACTCTGGGAGCTCCTCCTGAACCCAATCTGTATGTTCTTCAGCTAGCTTGGCCATCACAATGACCTTGTCTCCCGGGTTGCCTTGAATCGGCACTGGTGTTTCAATGACATCGTTTCGGTTCAACCACTCCACCAAATATGCGCCAGCGCGATACTGGTTATAAATATCTTGAAGATGTGCTTCCAAAAGATACAGCGAGAACATCAACATAACCGAGATACATATCGCGAATCGTAGGCCACCCTTCATGGTGACCACGAAGAGGGTATTCGAGCCCTTTCCCACAGCTTCAAACCGAATTCCGTATACAAGTATAGAGATCACCTTAACCGAGACAAATTATCCATTGATTATCGAATGGAGCCAGGTGCAGGGGGGTGTTGGAAAGCAAGATTATGATTGGTGTGGGAATGAACTGATGAAGAGGAGACTGCGAAAACGCAGGCAGAGGACGACAGAGTAGAGCCAAGAGAGCCAGGGATTGATCGTCACAGATTCCGCACAGAATAAACGGACAAACAACTCGTGTTAGAAGAAGGAAAGGGATTGAATGGAGAGGATTATAGGAGAGGGAAAAGTGAAATTGGAATATCGTCCCGTGCGATCTGGGAGCCTAAACTGTAAAAAAGCAAGACAGGAAGGGGGCGAGCCCCATAAACTCCCGGGGGCCCTTCGCCATCCTGGAGTCTAAACCACGTTTAACTTAAAGTCCCGATCACAACACACGTCATTGGCCCAAGAGAGGCGGTTCAGGGGAGCTGGGAGGGGCTAGGGATTGCAGTCAGGCCGGGGGGAAGTGTTGAGCGTTTGCTCTGGCCCTTAGCAGAAAGCTTGGCCTTGGTCGCGTAGCGCCGCCCCTCTTGAATTGGCGGCGGGTCCATCAAGTTGATTGGAACAATTGAACTTAAGAATGGGGAATAAATGCGCAGCTACCGCTGGTTGCGCAAGGTTTATAGCCAATCTGCAGGCGGGTGGCAGCTTGGGCCCCCGTCTAAATGGTATCAAAGGGTCGCGCTTCCCATGCGCCCTGTGAGAAGTTCCATGGTTTGCACGTGGCGAGCAGAAGATTCTTGGGAACAATTTAGGAGGGAATAAAGGGCCAAGGCTGGGAAAAAAAGTACTGCCGTGCAGAGAAGGTCGTCGCAAAAGGAGGGTACGTACCTCCCCACCGCGCTATTGGTTATGGAGGCATGCCGTGTGGGGCGTTCGGGTAGCCCCCTAAGACTCCATGGATGGTTATCTGGACATTGGTCAAGTTGCTGTTGCCTACTCCGTACGAGAGTCGTAGATACACTACCTTTGACGGAGAGATTGTATCGAGCCCCTGAGAGCTAGAAAACCAGGGCCGCATGCGCATACTGTACTCTGCATGATAGGGAATCCCCAGCGAGACCTCAAGGACGCTGGTTTATTTGGGTTCTGACACATGGACGGCACAGTGTGGCGATGACAGAATGGGCCCACCACACCAAATGGGCCAATGCTCGATCAGCATTGTAAGAAATGGCACGGCCGCTTTTGGCTTTTCGGTGTTGCTCCGCTAATATGAGGAAACTGGAGAAACAAGCGAGCGACGAGGGGTCCCTTTTCCGTGGGTGCATGAGAACACTGCCCCAGAGAATGGGGAAGGGGCCAGGACTGGAGAACCGGATTTCTGTAACGATGATCAGGAGCATTGCGTAAGTTGCTCGACACCCTTGCTGTATGCGGCATTTTGCTTGGCCGACAGCGGGTTCTAGTGATTCCTGCGTCGATAACTGTAAAGTTATGTATCTTTGCGCTGCCACCAGGAGATGGGATGCGTATCGGAGCACAGACCGGCCAAGGACGCCCCATTGGTGGCGGGGCACGTCTAAATCCCGTCGGTTGAAATTACCGCGTGGCTAATTTGGAAAAAGGGTCTCGATTTCAAGTGTACTCCGTAACGAAGCATGAATTGATGTCTCACTAGGGCACTAGTGTCGGTTGGGGAGAAGATCAACTTCCAAGATTGGAGGTTGGAGGTTGGAGGTTGGAGGTTGGAAGTTGGCCAGTTTGGGGTTGCGGGGAAGAATTACTCCAGTGACCTGCCCGTGGAGTAGTAGGTACTACATATGTACAGTATTAGGAGGACTATTAGAGAGAGAAGATTCCAATTAGAAAAATAACTGAGCCCTCGAATATATCTACTAGATATATCAAAAGGCAACTTCTATTTATTCGATCTCTCCCAAGGTCAAAGGGGAACCCTGTTTCCAAGTTTTGATCCATACACAACATGCTATGTATATTCCCAAATCTCTCGGCATTATATTGATTATATACAGTCCAGCTGCAGTCTCTTAAATGCAATTATATTTCAATCGTCCCCCTCTTCCTCATCGCTAACCTCCTCTCCCTCGGCAATTGCCTTTTCGCGTGCCTTGCGCGCCCGTTCGCGTTTCTTATCCAGGAGCGCATTAAGCTTCTTCGCAACGTTGAAAACCCCTCCAGTACCCGCTCCGCATGCTGCACAGTTTGGATTTTTGCGATATCGCTGCAAAGCGCAAGATTCGCAGAAATAGTGACCGCATTTCGTGATGATGGGGTTTGTGTAGGGCTTTTTGCAGATGATGCAGGCAAATGGAATGCTTTCAAGGAATTCGTCATCGTCGTCGTCTTCATCGTCTTCAGCTGTTTTCCCGGCACCTTTTCTTTGCGACACCACCCTTCCGTTTAACTTTTTCCCATTGGTCCCGACTTCCCAATCGCGATCCAGCTCCCAACCTTGTTTGTAATCTTCGCGCGCATGGAGGAATTTGCAACTAGAACCGAGTGTTAGTATTTCTAGATCATATTCCGGGTATATCAGTTGAGGCGACTTACGAATCTCCGAAACCACAGAATCTGAACAAGATTAAAGAAAGAGCAGTTAGTGTATGTTCGTCAAAAGGAAGCGGTTCTGCCCAAGGCAGTATTGGAGGAAGACCTACCCAGTCTGCTTGTAGTCCTTGCACACATCCGGGGCAAAATCCATCACGGTTACTGTTCGCACGTTTGTAGATGCCTTGATCGGACCGAACTTCTTGTTTGGCGCATCCGGGTTCTTTTGGATGAAGGATTGGTAGTTGGCCGATCCCTTGTAGGTTCCATCTGGAGGCGCATCATCGCCGGCGTCTGGATTTCCCGGGCGAGCTCTGGTAGACCCGAGGAGGTTCTTTGCGCTGAGATCCTCATCGTACCAGTTGGAGGACTTGGTCGCATCGTTACTGGAGGTCAAGGGAACCGGAGCGACGCTGGCTGGTTGTTCGGCATCCTTGTCTTTTCTAACATTGGCAGCGGAGGAAGCGGTCACGGCGACATTCTTACGGCGTCTCTTGATGCGACGGCCTTCTTCGTCATCGGAGGAGGTAAAGCCAGAGTCTGAATCGGAGGCGGGCGGCGGAGTGGCGGGCTTCTTGCGCATATTGGCCTTGGGTTTGGAGCGCTTCTTGAAGCCGAACTGGGGAACGGGGTCGGCAGGTTCGTCGGCCATGTTGACGGCTATGGAGGTGAGAGTCTCGTAAAAGAGAAAAGAGAAACTTGGACTGATAAAGTGCCTCGACGACCTTATGATATCAAATCAATGCTAGGTATCTCCGACGGAAGAGTCTCGAATGGTTGAGTCAGCAATGCAAACAGGGCAAACACGGAACGCGTACAAAAGAAAACAACAACACAAACACTCGGCACATCCAATGGGATCGAGGGATACTCACGAACATACCGTAGTACACTACTGATTAGAATTTGGGCAAGGTGGAGGATTGATGTAAACATACACAGATAAACATAATATTTATATTTATATCTATCTATTTTATTTATTTCTATATACCCCTATGTAACAATCACAGCCATTCAACACCATCGGTTACTAGTCGCTGCACCCTCGCCTGCGGCCAGCAGACAGCCGCTGCAGTACCTTTTGGGCCAGAATCTCCTCTTCTCTTCCCTTTTGCTTCTCCCCGCCCAAGTCGCCCACCACCAACCTCCGACTCCCTCGACACTCCCTTTCGCCTTTCCTTTCCTTTTCATTTAGTACTACTGCCTTTCATTGTTTTTCCTATTCCATTCCCTTTCTCTCCTCACTCGACGACCCGATCGAGATCCCGCGGGCGATCTCTCCTGCAGATCGCGCAGTGTTGTGCTTGACTGCATCGCACATCTACGCGCCTGGAACTTGAACCTGAACCTCAACCGATTCCGCCCGGGGTTCCTCACGGTTCCGTCAAGTGTTGGTGATTTCGATCTTCCAATTTCACCTGTCACAACCTCTCGTTTCTCTCATTTCCTTTTCTCCCCGTTGCACCCGCATCTTCGCACGTGGTGCCACTTGACGATCCGCGGTCGCTGGTCGGCTCGATTATCTTGACTTGGTGAGAGGCCCTCTCTCTGCGACACGATCTCGAAGCGCGCGATTTCGAACGATGCTCGCGTGAAGCATACTACACCTCCCCCACCACGAAAACCCGCGCCACCCTCCGTACGTCTCTCCTGGTGAACGACATCTCCTCGTACAGCAGGGGATTCGGCCGCCGCGTGAGGCACGGTACCGCTACCTCAGATTATGACCACTTCCAACCCTGGAGCGAACAGCTCCCTTGCCTCCATGATGGAGGATCCGTTCGTTTCGAATGCGGGACAACATGCCGCCCCTCGTGATTCCCATCGGTACTCGTCTTTCGATACACAGCTCTTCAGCCTCAATGCCTCCTCTCCCGCCCAGGCCAAGCGAGCCCTTGAAGCTCATCTCGCGGAAACCGAACGTCGACTTGAAGAAGCATCCAAATTAGGCACGGCCCTCATCGACCAACAGCGAGAACTATCAGAGCAGCTGAAAGAGGTCGAACAACAGCAGGATGAGGGCGAAATGGGCCCGGAGCTGCGAAAGAGACTTGCTGACCTGGAGCATGAGTATAATGAGATCGGCCGGGAATCGGCGCGCGCATTTCTAGGCCCGAAACGACTGGCTGGAGGCTCCGAGGATGCCCATTCGGGTACCCCGTCGTTTGACCAAAAGGTCAGTAGCTGATGACCGCAACATGCTCACCATGGCCGCCCAATCTAACACTCCTTTATAGTCACCTATCAGCCCCGCTCTTTTCGCCGGACAGGCAACAAACTCTCCCAGCAAAGTCAGTGTTCCATCTCGCAAGCAACGCAACCAGCCGTCAAACCGTGTCCACGATATCGAATTCGCGACCGAGATATCCACCTCTTTACTCGCCCAGGTTCGTCAGTTACAGGCGCTTTTGGCCGAGCGTGAGGAATCCCTCAAGTCTGTCAACCTCGAGAAGTCACGTTTGGAGCTTGAAGCAGAAGGCTATGCCCAACGCATACGGGCCCTCGACGACAGCGAGCAGCGCTACAAAGATGAAAACTGGGCCCTGGAGACTCAAACTCATGAACTGATGGCGGCTGTTCGAGATGCAACAGAGCGTGAGCAAAAGCTTAATAGCAGTCTTGACACCTCAAGCGCAGAAAAGAATGCCGTTGAACGTGAATTGGAGGAGCTCCGACAGACCAATGCGAAGCTGTTAGAGGACCAGGCAATTACTCAGAAGGCGAATGATACCGAAGTTCACCTCCTGCGTCGGAATCTGAATGCTGGTGATCTGGAGAAATCGGCCCTTCAGAAGAAGCTGGAAGAACTCACCTCGCAGAACCAAGAGTTGGCCAAGGCAGTTGCAATGCGTATTCGTCAACATGAATCACAGGGTGGTCGAGACTTGCCGGATGACTTGAATGGTGACGAGCCCGAACAAACCACCCCAGACAATTCTCCCCCTCCGTCGCCAAACAAGTTTACACCTCGACACGGTCACTTGGAATCCGAAACACTCAAGAGCTCCCTCGGACACGCTCATCGGATGATTCAGAATCTTAAGAGCACCATTCACCGAGAGAAGACCGAGAAGATTGAGCTCAAGCGCATGCTGCAAGATGCCCGAGATGAGGTTGAGCAGCGCCGCCGTGAAAGCGCCGCGCCTAATGGAACCAAGAAACCATTGAAGAAGAAGGATGACTCTTTCCGGAAACCTGCACGACCCGACCTTTTAGGCGCAGGTCGCAAGGAAACGTCCATGGTTGAACTTCACGACACTGACTGGGAAGATAACGCCGGCCAGATCAGTCCATCTCGCCCAGTGGCAATGAATATCGCTTCTAGAAGCCGTTCTGGCGCGCATTCTCCCGACGAACCCAGTGATGTCTATCAAACTGCTACTGAAGCTGAAGATGGGTTTGAGACCGCAAATGAGCGTGCGACCGCAACCGAGAGCGAGGCCTTCCAAACCGGTGTGGAAAGCATGGCAGACGATAGTAGCGACTCTGCGGACCTCACCGAAACCGAGAACAATGTGCAAACTACTCCTCGTAACCGCGTTGCCTCGTCTTTGGTGATGGCTAAAGCCCGTGATCGAAGCTCCTACCACAGCTCGGCCTCTACATCAGATGACGATGAGACCGACAGTGGATTCCCTTCCCCCAGCCAAACGCATATCTCTCGGCCGCGTGTTAGGCTCTAAGCGAAGTGTGCTTAGACGGATTCGCCCATCTGGGGAGGCTCCTATGGCTTCCAGCAGCCGCCCATCCAGTGCTCGCAACTCTCCTGCGCCCAGCTTTGAACAACAACCAATGGCTGGAGAGGGCCAGAGCCTGTTTGCAGAGCTGGCAGAGCTTGAAGGTGGTGAGGAGGAGGAGGACGAAGGAGCTGTATCGCAGGCCTCGACACCACGCATGCAAGCTGCAACCCCTGGCTCCCGCAGACCTTCTGAAATCACTCTTAACGATCTTCCCAAACCTATCATGGTAGACAGCGGTATGATGACTGAGCCCTGGGAGCCGCAAACCCCCAAGGCTGCCCATGTCCCTGTTCCTGTCCCTGTCGTCGGAGAGGTCACTCCGACGGGTTCTCCGGCTACTCCGCAGAGAAATCAGACCTTGGATCGTGAAATCGAATCTGAAGCGGAGGAGACCCCTAAGCTGGTCAGCTCAGGCACCCAGTGGACACCGCTGAAAGGACCTATTGTCGATAACGACCACCTTTCTAATGTTCCAACCCCACCAAAGATGGCCTGGGATGAGAGTTCTGAGTCTCAGCGAGTGGAGGCTGGCACCCAGGCCGAACTGCCAGAGCTCAATGTCGCAGCTATCTCTTCACAGGAGACGGTGCCTGCTTTCCCCAGCTGGCCCAAGTTGGAAGTTACCTATCTTCATGGAGACGAGACTGTGCCCGTGAAACATGAGATACCCGAGCCCGAGATTCCGGAATTCAATGTATCCTCGATCTCATCCCAAACCACCAAGCCTGTCCTAGCTACCGTGCCTGAGCCCGAGCCAATGATTGTGGAACCAGTGAAAGAGTTGCCCGAGATCTCTTTGTCCTCTCTCTTCACCAACTCCACCGAGCCTATTCAGGCACGCCTTCCTAAGCCAGAGCCAGTGTTGGAAGTTCCTGAGGTTGTTCTACCTGAGTTTGGACTTGCCACTCTCTCCACTCAGCACACTAAACCCGTGGAGCCTCAACACCCCGAGCCAGCTCCCGTGCCAGAACCCACCATCATTCCTGCTCCCATGCCTGAGCCAGTCATTCCAGATTTGAATATCTCTATGCTGGATGCCACCTCTACGGAGCCGATCGCGCCGAGGTTGATCGAGATTCCTGCCCCAGAGCCCGTTCCCGAGCCAGTCATCCCAGACTTTAGCATCTCTATGCTGAATTCCGCCTCTACGGAGCCGATTGCGCCGAGGTTGATCGAGGTTCCTGTCCCAGAGCCCGTTCCCGAGCCAGTCATCCCAGAATTAAGCATCTCTTGGCTCAACCCTGCCTCGACGGAACCAGTTGTGCCAACGCCAATTACGATTCCCGCACCCCCAACTCCATCGGTGTCTACCTTAAGCTCAGTCGAAACCCAGCCAGTCAAGTCCGTACCACCAATCGCTCCTCTGATGGCAGAATTGGGTATCCAGACAGAACCCATGGAGGAGCCAAAGGCAGCGGCGATTGCTCTGCCTGTTCCTATGGCTACTAATGAAGATGATACTGAGTCTACCCGCGAACGTGATAGCACCAGGGCAAAGGATCGACCCACAAGCATCGGCCTGGCTTTGAGCGACGTTTCTGGCAATGCCTTGCCCCAGTCCGCGACAGAAACACCGGGCTCTGTGAGCATGGATCAAGGCTCGCAGACCATCCTGTCTTCGCAGCAGATTGATCAGATCCTCATTGAACGAGAGGCCGCGCGTCCAATTTCCTCCGCCGACAGCAAGTCAAGAAACATGGCTGTTGTGGGGGCAGCTGCTGCTGCAGCAGCAGCGGCTACTACTGCTACTGCTACTGCTACTGCAGCATCGCCTTTCGCCACTCCTAAGCTCCGACCTCGCCCTCAGGGACAGTCATCAGCTAGATCTTTGACCCCCGGGCAACAACGACCTGACAGCGCTACTAGCCAAGCATCGAATCTTAGCGCTCACCCGCCGTTGCCTGCCGACCACCGCGAGGCCATCTTGGCTGCCGAGAAGAAGTCAATCGACATGCCCCCTCCCCCATCGCCAGGCACGATGGGCCCTCCCTTGGCGCCGGCTTCCGCCTACCGAATGAATGTGCAAGGTCCCCGGACCCCAGGAGACCAAGTGCCCCGGCCAGGCTCAACGAGGACTGTTTCTACCCAAGCGCGGGTGAGGAGAAGCAGCCAAAGCCAACTATCAAGGAGGTCTTCCGTTTCCTCGTTTGCATCGGAGCTGGAGGAGCGGTTTAACATGACCAACCCTCACGCTGGTCCTATGCCCCATGGATACGGTCCCAACACAGATCCCCGCATGATCCAAGCAATCACACAGACCATGATTGGTGAATTTTTGTGGAAGTACACTCGGAAGACCGGATCAGGAAACATGTCGTCAACCCGTCATCGACGCTACTTCTGGGTTCACCCTTATACGCGTACTTTGTACTGGAGTGAGCAGGATCCTCAAACAGCTGGAAAGAGCGAACTTCGAACAAAGAGCGTTCCTATTGAGGCTGTGAAGGTTCTCGCGGACGACAACCCATATCCTCCTGGCCTACACTGTAGAAGCTTGGAGGTTGTCAGTCCCGGCCGTCGTGTGCGATTCACTGCCACCACGAGCCAAAGACACGAGACTTGGTTCAATGCACTGTCGTATCTCCTTTTGCGAGAGTCGAACGATAACTGTAACGACAGTGAGAACAATGTGACTTTGGATGATATTGATGAATTCAACCCCGGTTTCCGCTCGGCTTCTCGCCAGACAGGTCGGATGTCTCTTGCGTCCCATAACAGCCGTCGCCCAGCACCGAAACAGCGGGCAGCCTCCGCGATGTCCATGCGGTCCACTGGAACCCATGGACGCGCGTCTCCCGCATTCAGTTCCCCGGGCGTCAATTCCTCGTTACAGGTGCCCGAGGAAGGACAACAACGATCCTCGTCTCGCCTCAGCACAATCCTTACTGGCTCGATTCGAGGCTCGATTGCTAGCTTGAAGGGACGCCATGGCCAAGCCGATAGTGTTCATAATGGAAGTCTTCGCGGCCAGGACAGTGTGGAAAACTTTGGCCACGAGGCTGAAGATGATGAGAGACTCGAGAATGTCCGCGCGTGCTGCGATGGCAAACACGACGTTGGCTCCCTCTCTCGCACCAGTCGATTCAGTCCAAGGGTCGATCGCCAACACTCCCACCACCACTGAAACTGAAACAAAAACATTGCATCAAAATTGACTTGGCTCAGTTTGTGGGCTGGTCCTCAAACCACGATGACGGCTTGCGTCGGTCATATAATTGCCATGGGTCTCTCTCTCCCTCTCCCTATCTCTCTTTTTTTCGGTTTACTCGCCCGACAAGCAGTTCTCTAACCATCACTGTGCCGCCTTGCATACATCTTGTCATGATAGAAGACACGGTGATGATGACCTCTTTTACACCTTCTGAATGATTTGGGTTGTGGTTCCCCGCCCCCTTATCCCCACCTACTTACTAGTACTACTCATTTGAAAAACCTACCTTTCATTTTCCTGCATGTCTCAGACCACGCATCATCTCCTATCACCGTCCTTCATTGATTCATTTTCACTGCTGTGTATCCGTTCAGCCACGTTCCAGTCTGCTCAGACGACTTGACTATATTTCTTTTTGTTGATAATTCCGTCTCGATTACTGTTCCACTCTTTTCCCTGTGATCGTGTTCTCTTCATTGTTGTGCCACCTGCACTAGAGCGTGAGCAAACTCAAAATAGCCCGTTTACCAGTGCTTGTGATGATTCCGTGTCCTTTTCTTTTTCTACTATGGGAGCAGTGTAAAATATAGTAGTGGGTTGTTCCCCATTCAATAGATCCATGTCACGTGACTGGGGTCTTCCCGGGCCCTAATTTTGGTTTCTGGCGGGTCTATCTTCCACTACTTCTCCAATTCTCCCCTCACTTGATCAATAAAGAATCAACCATCATGACGACTCCCCCGCCGTTAGAAGATAGACTCAAGGGCATGCTTGAGCCTGCCCAGCTCATGACATGGGCTATGTCTCGTGAGTAACCTTTTCATCGCCCGTTTATTACAACTCCCTTGATATTATTCCGAGTCCTCTTGTCTCCCTCGGCATTTGATATTGCATTCGGTGTTTGAAAAAAAACTATGCCCTCCATTGCTTTTATCTCATCTATTCAACATTCTATACGCTCTCAAAGACGTCAATGGGTGCTTCTGTTGAAGAATTGCACTATGCATATCCCTCACCTTTCCCAATACTCTACGGCGAACGAGAATCCCGCTAACATTATCAATAATCAGACTATATCCGAGTATGCGCAGAAGCTGTCTTCAAGAAAGGCGAGATCTTCGCGCCCATCCTCCAAATTCATCGACTGCGCGATGAAGCATTTGGTCGATTCTGGGTCGAGTTTTCCAGTACGTAGCGAACCTTCTCATCAGATCCATATTTTGATTATAATTATAATCGTATGCCACTCACTAAACGTAATTTCTCCAGCCCCGGCACCAAACGCGGCTCCACCCGCAACAGTATCAGAAACAGAAACAGAAACAGAAACAGACACCTTCCAACCAGGTCGAAACACCAACGGCTCATCCGATCTAATCCCACCCCTCCTCCGCACAGCCAACGGGATCGTCCTAGACATCGGACCAGGAACAGGCACCCAGATGCCCTCCTCCGCTCACCTTCAATAAGCACAATCTACGGCCCCAAACCCTGCACTGGGCTCCACGAGAAACTTCGTGCCAAGGCCGTCGCCGAGGGAATCTCATCCAAATATCACATTCTCCCCTGCGGCGCCGCAGCATCTCAACTCCTCCCCGCGCTCCGGGAATCGGGCACTGGCGTGACGGAGGCGTATGATTCTGATTCACGGAATGGGATATTCGACACGATTATCTGCGTACGTGTTCTTTGCTCTGTTCCCGAGATGGAGAGGACTGTGAATGAATTGTATGGAATGTTGAAGCCGGGCGGGAAGTTGTTGGTTACGGAGCATGTTGTTAATCCGTGGCGGACGGCGAAGGGGTCTGTTCTGGCGAGGGTTGTGCAAAGTGTTTATCAGTTGTTTGGGTGGAGCTTTTTTATTGGCGATTGTGCTTTAGATCGGGATACGGAGGGTGCGCTTTTGAGGGCTGCCCGCGTTGATGGTGGGTGGGAGGTTGTGGATTTGGAGAAGAATTTTGCTTGGTCGGTTATGCCTTATGTTTCTGGGACTCTCGTTAAGAAGATTTAGTTCAAGTTCTTAAGTGTGTGAGTTGGTACCTGTGTTATGTGTCTATTGTTACTCAGTTGTCTCGGATGCCAACAGCTATGAGGGTGTTGTAGATTCTTATTTCGGTTTCGCATTTCCCATATTAAATCGAATTTCCAAAGATCATTAGCTTCTAAAACTTGTTCTCTTCGGTGCAGATATATGTCTGGCTCGCCCAGATTTGGCAACGTCAATCATCTCTGGTATAGATGTATTCAATTGTCTAATTGGGTATCATGGTGGTAGAAATAATAAACGCATCGCTTTAAATAGGATGAAGTCGGTCTCAAAAAGGATAAACTCGGGAGATCAGAACCTAGGAAAGGTTTCAAATGGTCCGGTTATCGCTTCAGCATGGCTTTGGTCGACCTGGAGGCCAGAAATCAAAGAGATCCAATGCCTCAGATGTCCAGGGCCCCTGCCCAATCTCCTCAGAGTGCTCGGGAACCTGGCTGAGTGCACTTCGCATGAGAGAGGGTCGAGCCTGAAGGCCGGGCCTACTCAATGCGGTAGGATCGGATAGTGATTTGCGAAAGGGCACGTCTAGAGATCTCTTTGCGGGGAGGTTTCGAGCGCGTTCGGGTTGGTTTCCATTCCATGATTTTACATGGGAGGCCCCATTTTGGTTATTATTGATTCTAGGGCTGACGGCCATCTCTTCGAGGATAGATTGAGTTGATACCGAAGGTAGGAATTCCATGTTGGTAGACGCGGGGCCTTGAGATGGGGCACTAGCGGGCCTGCGAGGCGATTAGTACAGCAGGCCTCTCATATTTTATGAGCACATACTGACTGCGACTCCTTGGGTTTGGGCGTAGGTTGGCTTCGTTTCGCTGGCGGGCCCATTGCTGAAGATGGGGATGATTTTTGAGACGTATCGCTAGGTAATAGTGCACTGTACATCAATTTGCGCCGAGGTTTCTCAGTGGACATGCGCAGGGTTTTGATTGGTTGGGCTGGGGGTTCTGTGTCGGGGTTTATTCGTGAAGTTCGTGGGTTTCGTGGGACGTCATTATGTGGGGGGTCGTAGGAGTTCGGCGGTTTGGAGGGCGCCGCTCGAGAATCGACAGGCGGTTCCTCCGCTGGGACAGGCATTGATTTCGGTTGATGTGTCGTTTCCGTTGGTGGGTGTATGGATGGTCTCGTAAAGGTTGAAGGATCTTGTTTCGGGGGTTCTTGTCTTGAAGGTCTGGGTATTGGAGGTGCTTCTTTAGGCCTCGACTGCGGTTTTGGCTGTGGTTTCGGTTGAGGTTCCTCGACGGGCACTGTCATATCCGGCCTCGCGTCCTCCAATGGCTTCGTTTTCTCCCGAGGTGCAGGAAGACTCGGCAGTCTCGTAGGTCGTCGTGGTTCCGGCTCTGTCAGATCCACCACCTCAGATTGTACATTCCTGCTTCGGGCCGGGGTGGTTCCCGCCGAGACTCTCGGCCGTTTGGGAGCTCGTTCAGAGGAATCGGGGAGGCTTGGCGTTGGAGGTTGAGGATGACGTTCTTCGTACGGAGACGGACGATATCCAATTGGGGTTCGTTTGATGCCAAGAAGGTCATTGAGGGATCGAAACGTCTGCGAACCGGAGGGTCGAGCGGAGGTGGAGGTGGAGATAGGTGTAGGTGTAGGCGCAAGCGCATGGGTAGGGGTGGGTGTAGGACGCGTCTGGGGGTGATTTGAGGGAGGAGAGGTCTGGCTGGATTTCCTCTTCTCGAACAAGTTGGTGAGATCCTGCTGTGTTGTGCCCATGCGCTCGCCGACTTCAATCAAAACACCCTTATCGAGTTCCAACTCATCGCCATCTTGTACCTCATCGGTCGATCGCCAATGGTGATCCCCAATGTAGTTACCAGAGTCATCATAGACCATCACCCGTTTGTTGAAGGCATGGTAACGGAGGTAGCCATCCTGCCACCGTTTGGACTTGCGGCGCACATCGTGGGTGTATAAACAACGAAACTTGACGACGGAGGCGGTGATGGGTGGCTGGGAGGAGATTGGAGCGGAGCCACGGGGCGTAGAGGTCGGGACAGACATGGGGGGGATTCCACTCATGACATATCCCAGTGATATGCAGTGGTGGTGGTGGTGGTGATGGTGGTGGTGGTGGAGGAGAGAGTTGTGGGGAACTCAAGAAGAGAGAACTCGAAAGGGAAAGGATGCCAATACTCATACTAGGCCTCAGGCATATCTCCACTTACCTCTACAACCAGAGCTACAACCACTTCCATTCATCAGATATACCGTACCACAGTAGTACCCACTAATCCCCTCTGATCAACTATTTCATTACCTCTTCTTCTGCGGTTTGACTCACACATCAAAGTGGCCCCAGTGGCCCCAGTGGCCCCCACGGGAAACCCCAGCAGATGCAGCCAACGGAAATCAGTCAACCATTCTGATTTGCGATGACCCCAGTCCAAGTGGAGCTTGATGCATTCCCCGACCAAAAATAACCAGAAATCCATTTAATCATAGGGCAGAGCCAAGCAGAGCAGAGCAGAGCGCATGAGGGGCTTGGCCCCCTCCATGAGAGCCGCGCATGATGGCTTGAAACGTTTCGAATTTCCTTGCCTTGTCATAATTCCCCCGTTTCACTTTCTCTCTTTACTTTCACTCACCCTCACCCTCTTCCATCCCAAGATTGACTTGACTGCTGGTTCATCAAATGTTCATCTGCTTCCTTTATTACTAGTACTTGTGAACAGCTGCCTTCTGCTCTGCTTCTGCTTCTGCCTTCCCTTTACAATCTCCCAACCTCCCCCCAGCCAGCCACTCCACCATGCAGAACATGCAGAAACGCTTTGGTCGAATGACCTCCAAGAGAACTGCCGATGACAGCCAGGTCGCTGTCCTTTTAAAGGATTTCGAGGACGCAGATTCGTTGTTGTCTAAAGTAGGCAGCACCTTTCTTCCCCGCGGATAAACTCAGTGACACGCGTTCCATTGCTAACTATTCTTTTTACAGATCGCAGAATCTACAAGGGCCTGGCGTGATGCTTGGGTATCAATTGCGACCTTCCAAAGTCGCATGGCAGATGAATTCGATGGATTCTATGCGCCCATTATCGGTTCATCTGAAACAGACTCCCCGCATCGACCCGTGGAAACCGATCCCACCCTCTTGGGTCGAACCAACCGACTACGCAAGGAATTCGATGAGCTTCGTGAAGAGATGATCCAGGAGCTCGATGTGGTCGAGGATCGTATGGCCCGACCAGCGGATAATGCGAAGGGCTCCTTAGCCCCCATGAAGAAAACAATCAAGAAACGCAATGATAAGAAGGTATGTAATGTGTATGTGGGGTTGCTACAGTGGCGTCGCAAAGTTTGAAACCTCATGTTCACCGTTCTCGCCTCCGCCTTCTGATAGGAAACTAGTAGCTACCCTAGGGTACCTGGGATGGAATAGATTAGCCTATCTATTCCATCTCAGGTAGCTACTAGTCTACCATTCAAAGGCGGAGACGAGGAGTTGGAACAGTCAACAAGGGGTTTCAAACTTTTGCAACACCACTGTAGTGTGCAGCAATACGAGCCATTTATCATTTACTCATCTTTCTTCTTGAACAGACCGAATTCGAAATCTATCAGGGCAAAGTCGATAGCCTCATCCATAAACCCAAACGCAGCGATCGCGAAAATGCCAATCTTGCGAAGGTGCAGGTCGATCTCGCCAGTGCGAAGGAGGTATATCAAGCTGCGGACCAAGACCTCCGCCAACGCCTGCCACATCTGATCTCCCTCCTTTTCTCCCTCGTACCCTTCATTCTCACGGCTCAAATCGAGATTCAGAACCGCATGCTCGGCACATACTACACTGTGATCCTCGCCTTCTGTGAAGAGACTGGACTGCCATCACCGCCAGCCCCCTTCGACCAAATAGTATCAGACTACCAACTCGTTCACGATCCCGTGCAAAGCGAAATCGAGAGCATGAACTGCCTCATCCATGGCAAGGCCCTCCGAGAAGCGCAAGCCAAAGAACTACAGAACAAACGTCCTTCCCTCGGCAGTCGCACCGCAAGCGTAGCAACCAATACCTCACGCCCATCCCTATCATCCCGACCATCCATCTCATCCATCTCATCAAGCATTCGTGGCAAACCAGCCGCTCAACCCCCAACGCTCGGCCCAAAGCCCACCACCTGCGCTGAGGAAATCCGCGCCACCTCTCTATCCTCTTCATTTATGGCATCCCGCAGCTCTGTCTCCGCCTCTATCGCTAGTACATCAGGCACATCTCCGCTTCCATCAGCACATGGATCCTGGATGCCCCCTCCAGATAGCATGCCGTCTCCGCAAACCACGACCCCCGTCCCCAGTGGTGTCTCCTTCTACCCGGCTGCCCGACCGACGGATCATTTCCAGCATAGTCGTTCCCAGCAAAGCTCGCTTCAGTCCGGACCAAGCATACCCTTCACAAACGCCGAGCCGTTCGCTATGGCTGCGCTGAAGAAGAAGAAACCCCCACCACCACCCCGGCCAACATTCGTCACGGCATTGTATGACTTTGATGGACAGGGCGATGATGATTTGAAAATTAGAGAGGGCGATCGGATTCGTATCGTGAAGAAAACTAATAGTACAGATGACTGGTGGGAGGGTGAGCTTGGTGGTATGCAGGGGTATTTCCCGGCGAATTATGTCGAGTAAATGGATGGCGATTTGAGGTAGTAATTTTGTGTGGTTTCATTCTCTTATGATTTAGTTTGATTTAGTTATTGCCAATGATACCTCGAGTGTTCTTTCTTAAAATCTTGAAATTTGGTTCAATTCGACCCGGAGTCAGTGGATACCTAGGTACCTAGGTATATATTTCGGTTCTTGAAAAGAGCCCTGGAGGGTACTTACTAATAGTAGTATTTGTGAGTACCTACCTAGTAGGTACAAGACTCTCAATGCCACCCGGGCAACCACTATCTACCTAGGTAGCTATCCAAGACAGACTAAATTGGCCTATCTATTCCAGCTTAGGTAGCTACTAGTATTCTATTAGAATTCGGCCAATAATGGTTAGTACCTAGGTAGGCAATATAGGGTTTCAAACTTTTGTAACGCCACGGATTTGGATTTCTAAGACTGACCCCTCCAAAAAACATTGGAGAAGTTCATGGTATATTTAGAATCATAATGAGCATTAAGGGTAATTCGCAAGTGCCGGGACTTCCAAGGTTCTTCAAGGTTCAAGTTGGTTACCAGATTTGTCCCGGGTACCTGATGGTGCCATGGTCGAGGAAGCGTGCCTAGCAGGTACTGGTACATCGTTTACCGTGGCTCATAGTTTGTATTTTGCCCATCCAGACATCAACCACCCCAAGTGGTCGAGCAGTAACTCGACTATTTCATCTTCCTTGGTCTAGTGGTCATGATTTCCGCTTGTCATTAAAACCGATAAGCGCGGGAGACCGGGGTTCGATTCCCCGAGGGAGAGTTTCTTTTTGCTTCCGGTCCACTCGCTCCGTATAAGGACGGCTGGGGTTAGGATTCAAGTCCTTTTTTTTGGGCAAGAAAGAATCGGTTTGAAGGGGAATGGTAGAATGGATATTGAAAACAAATCTTTTTTGGTAGGGGGCTATTTATAATTAAAAATATTGTTGGTTAGTTATACATTGCTACCTACAACTCGAATGCATACATTGTCGGCTGACATGATACAAATGAGTGGACAGGGAAAAATACTATACCCAAGTCAATGAATCAAAAACAAGGTCAAACACCTCAAGTCACCAAAGCTTCAAATGAAAGCCTCACCGGGGGCATTGCCATCCAACACGTTTTCCGCCGGGCGACGCCGACTGTTCAAAAACAGCTCCACCATGCGTTTGCTGGAGACAGTAGGAGGACCATCCTGGTTCTTGTGATACTCACCCATCATGTTTTCGTGATCCTCCTTCTGCCACTGATTTTCGTTATTCAGCGCATTAAAGTCACGGTAGGCGCGCATCGAGCGGAATGAGTTTGGCTTTCCATTAGCTATCGGCCGGCGAGCGGAATACCGTCGGTACTGCTCCTGTGTCAGATTCCGCTTCGGTAGATCAGGGACCACTCTCTGCGGAGTTGGTGAATCTGGTATGCTTGGTGAATTCGCAGTTCTCGTTCGCATTGGCGATAGAGTCCGATCGGATGGCACCCGAACCGGTGGAGATGGAACATCAGCAATGGAATCAACTGCTGAAAGCTTGGATGCAGTCTTGACTGTGCTGCCGGGCTCAATGGTTTGAGATGGTAGAATGGTTTGCACACTGGATGATCGACTGAATGGACGAGAAAAGTTATTTTGAGAAGCAACTCTGGGCTCCTCAATGGACTGCGAGTCATTGTGCTTCGGCTCACTAGTAATATACGGCTTGGCAGTCGACTCTTGGCCGGGACCAGGTGCTCGTCGCATCATGCCCATGAATATCTCATCATCATCTTCCTGAAACTGTGCATCCTCTCTCACATGCTCTCGCGTCGGGCTGGTTGATTCGATTCTCTCAATCTGTGAGCTCATCCACTGCTGCCAGTCCAAACTCGGCTTCACCTGAGTTTTCAAGGGTGATGAGCTGGAAGAACGTCTTGGTGACTTGTATACTGCTCTCTGAGAGGTAAATATAGTCGCTGTTCCCGGCTCGTCCGCCACATATCGAGGCTCAGTAACTTCAAGTTCCTCCGTGGGCGTGCCCCCGTTCGTCGTTCGAGAATATACACTTGGGGAAACAGCTCCCATTCTTGCGCCTCCATAGCGAACAACAATCACGCTACCTGTTTCGTCGTCCGAATCCCCACCGCGTGCACAGGGCGAGCGAGCTGAATTTCCGCCGACCTTGGGACCCCAAGTGTGGTTTTCTTGCCCTTGAATTCTTCGAGAGGTCGCCGACGATGGAATATACTGAAGAGGTCGAATCATATTCTTCCGCGGGAGGAGGAGTCTCCAGCCCTTGCTGTTGTAAATGATCCGGGCGTCGAAGAGTCTCCACTGGGAACACGGCGGATCGTGTATTTGCTGCGACGCGATAATGCCGAGGAAGTGCGCGCCTGGACAGCACGGTGCTCTGGGACAGTACCGAAAATTATTTCCTCTTCGGCATTCTGCACGTTTTGCCGTCCGATCTGCTGCATCAATGCCGAGTACAAGTCATGACTATCAACCCAATCGTTGAACCTGCGGGCGGGAGACTTTCTGGGTGTAGGCGAAGCCTGGTCGGCTGCACCAGAGGGATTCTGCACTAATTGCTTATTCAGGTCCCCATGCTCTTCGATTAGAGATAGGGATTGCCGATGTCCAGGTTTGCGAGCTGTGATAGTGTTGGCCACCGTCGAATCTGCCCAACTTGTGACGCGTGATTTGGATGTGCAGAGACTGGCACGACTGGGGGAGATTCGTGGAACACGCAATGGGCTGGAATGAACATCATCAATTACATCCACAACTTCGCCGACCATATCGTCCCGATACTCCACATATCCGTGGACGGAATTGTTGACAGAGATGTCATTGCAAGAGATAGGCACCGGCGGAAGTGGTGGATCTGCTTCGTCCGAGGGGTTCGATTGTTGCTCGACAGACCTGGATAAACCAAAAACCCGCTTGAGACCGTTCTTGAAAGATGCTGAAAAGGTTCGTCGTCTGCCATGTCTCTCAGTCGGCTTGGTGCCAATGCTACTCGCGCTTGTCACACGGAATGTCTTGCGGAACTGTTTGTTTTCCCGCCTGCGTCGATGTACGAAGAGCGAAGAACGCCTCGTCTGGGCTTCAGCATGGTCAGTTTCTCCGAGGAATTGATCGCGAGCAAGCTGAATGGCTGTATCTTGACTTTTGGCGTGTCTAATTGCACGGGAACTTTGGAAGGGACTCGCCCGTATAAAGGACGGTGTATGTCTCATGGTGCGTGGCAGCGCAAATTGGGGACTGCGCTCGAGATCCATGGCATCTCGACGGGGAGAGGTGGCGTACTGTATGCGGTGTGAGAGGATCGTTGTCTCGTTGAAAACATTGATTTGGCCTTGCGCAGCCGCCTATACGAGGAGGGCACAGAGCTATCTCGACCATCCAACCCATTCGGCTCAGCGGGTGGTGGGAGGACGGCAGAGAATTCGCGATCGTTGACTGTAGATATACTCTCGGCCCTGGCAAATGGAAGTGGAGTGGATGGGGGGACGGTGGGGGCTCCATATGTTGAGGTGCTGTCGTCGGTATATTGAAGGCTGGATTTTGGGCGCCGTCTTGGAATGGCGACTTGGGTAGGTCCACCAACTCGGTTATAAGAGCATTTCAATTCAGCTGATGATTGATGGGAATGTTGATGACTTGAGTGCATAGCACGGGAGGCGGCCGCAGCAGCATGGAGCTTGGCGATATCGGGATCGATGATTTCTGCTGGTGGACGACGGGCTCTTCGAATTGAGCGAGAGGACATGGACCTGTGAAGGCGACCTCGAGTGCTGAATGCGGAAAACATGTTGCAAAAGTCTGTAGTATATGAGGTATACCGAAGGAGATGTTGAATGGAGAGGGAGAGAAGAAGATGAGAGAGGTGAGAAACGAGCAAAAGAGAAAAAGAGCGACATGTTATTGTTATTGACGTGGAGGAAGGAGCAGGTCGAGGAGGAGGTGAAAGTATACGAGTATGGAAGGAGCGATGGAGGCATTGGTGTATATGGACACGTGATGGGGAATGGACTGTTCTACTAGTAAGGAGGAGCTTAGTACTCTTCTATCTTCTACTCCATACGCTACTCCGGCTTCAGATATGTATCATGCATGCATCTGCGTGTTCCCCATTTTTACGATCTGGTCTAGCCCTAATTGGACGAGTGAGTCACCCATGGTCCCTGACTCAACTGAGACTCAGGGCAGTGCAAGCCCCAACAAAGAAACTAGATGGAGGGAAGCTCACGTATTAAATCACTACGATCCGCTATGAATGTTTTCTTCAAAAGGAAAAGTTCAGTTCACTTCAATTCCCTCCGCAAGCCATTCATTCATTCCATGACGGCCCAAGGTTCTAGTTCCGGTGGGGCAGCTCCCCCACAGCGATCGCCCCGCCACATCACGCTCGATGGACGAACGCTTGAAGGAGGCGGGCAACTAGTCCGCAATGCACTAGCTTTGGCCGCCCTCACCGGCCGCCCAGTCACAGTCAATCATGTGCGCGGAAACCGTGGGGGAAAGACCGGGTTGAAGGCATCGCATGCGGCAGCCGTCAAGCTGTTGGGAGATATCAGTGGGAGCAAAGTTACGGGGGGACAGGTGGGCTCACGGAGTGTGACCTTCGAGCCGCCACAATTTGAGAAAGAGGAGTCACCTGCAGAAAGGCTTGCAGTTCCAAGCCCGATGCTGGTTCCATTATCCAGCGTCTCGCCGAAGCCCGAATACAACATCATTCTACCAACACCAGGCTCAGTATTTCTCATATTCCAAGCTATTTACCCATACATGTTATGGGTCGGATCGCAACCAACCATTGAGAAGATTCGAGTAAATATTACGGGCGGCACAAATGGAACTAATTCCCCATCCTACGACTATGCCACCCAGGTGATGCTACCGAACTTCAAGAAATTGGGACTTCCTTCTGCCGAAGTCATTTTGCACAAGCGTGGATGGTCGAATGGTGTTGTCGACATGGGATCTGTCAGTTTCCACATAACCCCATTGGAAGCTTCAAAGAAATTGCCTTGTTTCCCTCCCATCAACATCATGGAATACGACCGCGGAAAGATTAGGAGGGTCGATATCACCATCCTAGCACCCGATGTCCGCCTATTAGAATCAGAAAAGAAAGGGCAGCTACAAGCCGTTCGCCAGTACTGCGAGAGACAAATTCGCCGTACCCTACGAAAGGGGCTTAAGAAACTTGACCCGTCTTTATTCGACCAAGAACTCTTTGACATACAAGATGACGGTGGCCATGTTCCTGTCACGTTGGCTCAATCCGAAGCCACATCTCACCCTTCTCGGTTCTATATCCTGCTAGTGGCAGAAACAACGGAGGGGTTCAAGATTGGGTATGACGCTCTTGGAACCACTCGAGCGAAGCCTAACGCAAAACAACCCGGAAGAAACAAACACAAGAAGGACAAGAAGGGCTCAAGCCAAAATAATGACACAGATACGGAACACATCGATAATTTTATTGAAGGCTGTGTTCAGGGTTTCATTGATGAGATTTCGGGGCTCCATACGAACGAGAGCTGCAAGGTGCGGTCACCACTTGATCAATTCATGAGAGATCAAATCGTGGTCTTTGAAGCGCTTGGACGCCTTTCCGACGAACAGGATAAAAAAGCAACACCAGATGAGGATGAGCGATATTGGACGCTGCATACTAAAACATCACAGTGGGTATGCGGGGAGATGTTACGAGGCTGATGATAGACGAGACGAGACGAGACGAGAGAAAACTAGAAATTGATAGATACTTGCTCTAGTACTAGTATGTATATAGAACATACCCTTTCTCTAGTCGGTCCTTTTACTCTCCACTCAAGTTTAGACCTTGATCTAGGTCGGTGAAGCGCTAGTAATCTCAGAAAAAGAGCAAGCTAAGCCAGAACAGTCAGGTCAATACAGCCGCATTTCTCTAGATAGCTTACCGCACCTTCTGTACGAAGACAGTGAAGTCCACGTAGCAAAACTGTGAGTCCATTTAGCCCAATAAACACATGCATGAAGGAATTGCCGAGATCCACCGAAGGAATCAACATGAAATTCCCAGGATCATTGTTGCCAGATGGCCAGGTTATGTACGAAATACTGTAGTCACGATTTGATAACGGAGAGGCCCGATTCCCGGCAGACGGCAGAAGAGCCGAATAGAAATTCTCCGAATGGCCCCCTTGGCCCACACTGGCATACTCGTATGTGACAGCCAGGACCAGGGGGCTCGCATCTTATTCTCAAACCGAGATTACAGGATGGGCTTATAACCAGCCGAAAGACAGGGTCGTTTCGCGGCCCAACCAACCCCAGGGCCGCGGCCACCAGTGGGAGATCAGGGGATTGTGCAGACCATTGTTGACTCCACTTGGTGCGAGCGAAAGCCCGAGCACATTAGCCTGTTTACATCAGTGGTGATGATGTGAATGGATACATTGCTTGCTTATGAGACGGCCCCAGGCGAGGACGTCACGAGCAGGGATGTTTAGTTCCATCTGCTTGACACAATGCAATGGTGGATGCGGTGCAATCTGAATCTGCCTCGCGTCTCGAAGGACCGATAAAAAAAATCAAAGTTTACCTCTGGGAGAGATTTTGCAAATCGCCAATCGTAAATCGAAATCCCAATCGAAAACTACCTCTTAAAAATACAATAGTTCATGTAATCGCATAACCGTTGAACCCCGTAATTCAGTACAAGCTTAGAGATCCGCGAGGTCCCAAGCCACACACCGACAAAACCCGCGCCAACGATCCAAACGATCACCATCACATCTTACCAATTATGGTGCCCTGAAGAAGGATGTGGAGACGTATTTCCATCCCCACAGTCCACCCTGAAACAGCGAACTGATCGGACTGTGGCTGAGCGGGGCGGCCGCTTGTCCCAAGGCCAGCGGAAAAAAAAGGGGGGCGGAAGCGAAGAATCGAGAAAAAAAGGCACAGGAAGGAAAAGAGTAACGAGGGCCCCACGGTCTAGTGTTTTACATCATAATGGATTGGGATCAGCAATCCACTGCTCTCGCTCGCTGTCTCCTTCTCTGAACCACGTCGAGCAGAGCACAGCAGAGCAGAACAAAACAGAGCCAAGCATTCCACGAGGTTGGATAGTGTGGGGATGGTCACCAGATCCAGGAACGAGAAGTACTTGTGTCATAATCCTAGGAACCAGGCAGCCACAGTGGGAGCTAAGTGGGATATGTCTTGGAAATAACTTGAAGAACTGGCGCTGGACGTTGGGATCCGAGGGCCGGGCCTGCAACGAGAGACAAACTCCCTTAGCCCGCAACCCAAATCTGAATCAAAACTCGGCAAAGTGAATCAAAATGCAATCATACTCACCTCGGAAGGGCCGACCGTTTGAATGGCGTAAATTAGAGACCTATGACTTAATGAACTTTCTCTCTCCAACTTTGATGAAAAACACGAAAAATTCCCCACCCACTCTACTCTACTCTGGACATTGAATCTGACACGCGAGATGATTGTAATTTCAAGCATCGACCCCAAATGCAAGGGAGCTTGACACTTTGTCCCGAGACTGTAGCATTGGGAGAAGATCAAATACCCCGTGAATGCACGCAATACAGAGAGCGTGCCAGTGGGTGGGGGGGGGGGAGGTGTTTCAAAGTCGATCGAGATCGGGATCGTTCGCAGGAATCCTCGAACTCTCGAGGATATTCTATTAAGGGGCTGGGCTCTGATGTCTTTCGCGGCCCAAGGATTTTGTTTCCAAGGAATTCTGAAGCAAAATGAGGGCGTGTGGCGACAAGAAGAATGTGAGCTCAGACTGCGACGATGGAAGTAAATTAACAAATTTGTTAACAGTCCGACCCTAATCAATCAGCCTGACCATATAATCAAATCACATGGCTGATTGTAATTGCGTCCGGTTCTCCCAACACTTCAAATTTCAATAAACCCCGAATGCATGTTTGATTGGATTGATTAGAGTGTGGGTTCTTGGGTAGATGTCAGATAGATTAAAGTCGCTAGTCGCGTCCAGAAGCGCTCCAGGGCTGAAGGCTGAAACGCGCCTCGGTTGTTCCAGTTTTGTTCCATTCCAATCTTCTAGAACGAGGTACGAGACCAAAGTATAATCCTAGTAATGAGGTCCTTTTTTTTTCTTCCTCTCTTTCTTTAAATATAGTCTGTTCACTCGTATCCCGTTTCATATTCGCTTCTTTGCTGGCCTAGTCCCATCGAATTAAGACTGTGGCATTGTGTCAGCCTCGAATGGGTCCCGTGGTTTTGGCCCCAATGTAGGCCCCTTCTGTAGTACTCCATAAGGAGTAATTGCTAGCCAGAATAAGGCATATGGCATTCAGTACGGAAACCCCCGTAGAGATACCGTACCGAGATATCCGGACAAATCAGTGTCCGTCCAAGTACACTACATTAGTACTAGTAAGCTGAGAAAGATCCTACGGCCGTTGCCTAGTGCCCAGCCTCAAAATGTAAACTAAAAAGCTTCCAAGGCTGACTTGAGTTGTCCTTCCCTTTTCAGTATTTTTCACTGCTGCTTTTTAATTTTTATGCCAAAACCTTTTTATTTTCAGCTGGAGGCTCCACTGGAAGCCTTGTGGCGCCCGAGGGCGACGGCGTGCGGCGATGACAATGGGGCCATTAGAATCCGACCCCCGGCCCCAACTCCCGACTCCGACATGAGGATCAGGCGCATCCATGTATTGGCTGCACGATGACAGTTGAGGATCGTGGGGGGTTGGTCTCTTGGCCAATTTTATGAAACCATTCCGCGTCAGAAAAGATGCATTCCACGGTTCCACCTGCTATGTTATG